GCATGGCTCGGTCAACTTTACAACGGATTATTCGCATTGATTTGCATTTGTTCCCGTACAAAATTCAATTGACGCAAAGAATGTTGCCTGCGGACAAGCCTCGTCGATTGGAATGGGACCAAAGAGTCATCGAAATGGCCGAAGATGACGAGCAATTTTGGAACAAAATGATCATGTCCGATGAAGCCCATTTCACATTAATTGGGACCGTAAATAAGCAAAATTGCCGTTTTTACGCCACTGAAAATCCTCAGGAGATTCAAGAAGTGCCTCTTCATGACGAAAAAGTCACAGTTTGGTGCGGCGTTAGTGCGAAAACAGTCATTGGACCGTTTTTCTTCCAAAATGAAAATGGCCATGCTGTTACCATCAATCAGGAGCATTATCGCGACATGATGACCAATTTTGTGATGCCAATTATTCGTCGAAAGCGTATGAGGCAGTTCTGGTTTCAACAAGACGGCGCTCCAACGCACACAAGTCGCATAACAATCGATTTTCTGAAGAATTTGTTTCCGGGCCGTTTGATGTCGAATAGTGGTGATTTGGACTGGCCACCGCGTTCGCCCAATTTGACGCCGCCTGACTTCTTCTTGTAAGAATATTTGAAGTCAAAGGTTTACGTTAACAAGCCAAGGACCGTAGAAGAGCTCAAGGACAACATTCGTGAAGAAATAGCCGCTATTCCGGCCGAAATGTTTGCAAAAACGATGGAAAATGCAGCAAAAAGGGCATAATACGTCATCAACGCCAGAGGCGGCCATTTGATAGATATCATATTCAAAAATTGATGTAAACAAATATGCTTGGAACAAATTAAATGATTAACATTGCCAACCGCCAAATTTTTATTTTGTTCTTTGATTTAAAAAAAAAAAACATGGATCCGTCGAATATGGGCAACCCTGTACACAAGGAGTTCTTTGTGAGCACTTTACCTCCTGGAAGAGAATTTTCTATATAGGTCCACGGTACTTATAATGGTACTTCCCGATATTCGGATAATTTAAGCCACATTTTTCATCGAAATTGTCTGAAAATTGACATAAGGTGTTCTTTGTGAGTACTTTATCCCTTTGAAGAGAATTATCTATATAGGTCCACCATATCGTATGGCCCCCATTTAACGGTACCCCCTATATTCGGTATTTTGATGATTTTACCCACATTCTTCAGCGGAATTGTCAAAAATTCTGTCCGAGGAGTTCTTTGTGAGTACTTTACCCCCAGATATAGATTTGTCTACATAGGTCCACAGTATGGTATATCTCCTATATATCGGGACATTCCGCTATTCGGTATTTTTAAGATTTGAACAGAATTTTTAAAGGATTTTATTTTTTTTTTAATTTCCTAATTCGTTCCAAATGTTGGAGGGTATTCAAAGTTATACGAAGGCTATACGAAGACGGACCTCCATTTGCTAGGTATTTTGATGATTTTGGTGCAATTCTTGATTTACAGCAATTCTTTCAAACTTCGTATTTAAAATTCGTAATTTATACTACATCCTATGACAAAGAAGTAAAAAAGCTGTAAGTTCGGCCGGGCCGAACTTTGAATACCCTCCACGATTTTCAACGAATTTGGCAATTTTCAAAAAATCCGTTTAAAATTATGTTAAAATCTTAAAAATACCTAATTTAGCCATTATATTAGGGTCTATACGACGACGTGGACCTGCATAGCCAACTTTTGTCATAAGCCATTACAATATTCAAATGTGAAACTAAAAAAAAAATCGGTGAATATTGTAGCTAAAAGCATCAAAATACCGAAAATAGGGAGGTAGCATTATATCGAGGCTATACCAAAACGTGGACCTGTACAGACAATTTTCTGTCAAAGGCTGTAGTATCCATTACGAACACCAAAAACCAAATTTGAAACAATTCCAGTGAATAATGTCGCTAAAATCATCAAAATATAGAAAATCGGGAGGTGCTTTTGTAGGGCACAGACAATTTTCTGTCATAGGGTTACGAACTGCAAATAGCAAATTTGATATATTTCCGCTGATTAATGTCGCTTAAATCACCAAAATACCGAAAATAGAGAGGGGGCTATACCGAACCTACATGACCCATTGTGAATACCAAAAGTCCTGCAGACATAATATACATTTGAATAAAATTTTATCAATCTACTTCATTTCATTCGGAAGCTAGAGTGATTCCCACAGACGGATAGGCGGACGGACATTGCTAAATCGACATTGAATTTTATGCTGATCAAGAATATATACATTGTGGGGTCTAAAATGTATATTTCGAGGTGTTACAAAAGGAATGACAAACTTAATAAACCCTCCATATTATGGTGGGGGTATAAACATTTACAAATGCAGGACCACGTCTTCGTATAACCCCCATATAACGATTTCCCTTTGAGTGGTATTTTTTAACGGAATTTTTTTGAAAAATTTTCAATTAGTTCAAATGGTGCAGGGTATTAGAAATTCTGCCTGGCCTGCTGCTGCTTTTTTTACTTGGACCATTACTGTAAATTATTGAAAAAACAATATTTTCAAAATAGTTTACAAAGCTAGTCGTGCGATTTATAACTTTTAATTATTATTATACCCTACAACACTATGTGTTGGGGGTATTATAAGTTTGATTGGGCCAAAAATTATGTAACACCTCGAAATATTGGTTTCCAACATAGGAAAGTATATATGGATCTTCCTATCTCGCCGAGCTGAGTCGATCTAGCTATATATGTCCGTCCGTCCGTCTGTCCATGTTAATTTATAATCACTCTACAGGCCGCAATTATGGCTCGATCTTCACGGGGTTAAGGTCAGATTAGAACCCTATTTCTTTTGGAGATGATCGCATAATATTTAGGGGTTGAAATGGACCAAAAACTGAAAAAATTCCTGATTTTACAGTTGCTCTACAGGTCACAATTATAGACCAATCGAAGCGGAAGTTAGCATGGGGCTAAAGCTTAGGGCTGGCCAGAAGCCTTCCAATTTTGATGGTCATCGGGTATTATTTAGTGGGTGAAATAGACCATAACATTTGTGTTAAATAAAAGTCAAATTTTCCATTAAACCGCGAATATTTTTAATCCCGGCGAAATCACAATTAAAAGAACAGGCCAATTCTGACCATTACGTAGATGCCGATAGTAAATATATCGGATATATAGCGAAATATATACAATGTGTGTATACAAAGGAAGGGGATGTTAGCTAGAATGATTATATCCCAAGAACGGCTGAACCGATTTTGACAAATTTTGTCAATTCAGGATGCCCTCTTCGCATAAAAGAATAAAATCTAAAAAAAAATCGCATAAAAGATGCCAATAATGATGTTAATTTAGAATTTGTAGTATTTTGTGACATTTTTTTATTTTTTCATAATTTTTATCTCATGCGATTTTTTCAAATTGACTTATAATATTGAAATATACATTTTGTAAAATTTTTTCACCTTATCATATAGATGAGTCTAAATTTAGAGACACAGATGGGCCTCTTGCTTTTAGAGATGATCGCAAAATATGACCCAAAAACAGAAAAAAATCCTGAACACACAATTGAAGCCAATTGACACGCCTGAGAAGAGAGTTAATGACAGGGAAAAGTTCTAGCATTGTGGATGATGATTTAGCTGTAAAATGGAGCGCAACGACTAACAGCACGACGGAGTGCGTAAATATTGGGCAAATATCCCTAGTCAAAATACTAAGGGTAATATCTGGGCAGTCTTCCGTGACGTAATTTCAAAAGCGAAATCTTCCAAAATGGATTTGGACATAAGGGTGCTTCTAACATATTGTAGTGTTGTAGGGTATCACAAAGTCGGCCCCGCACGACTATAGCATTTGCTTACTTGTTATTTATAACCTTTAACTATTACGAAAATACGAAGCTGTATAGCCAATTATCTGCCAGACGAGGTAATATCTTTTTCGAACGCATAAATGCAAAGGCGTGGACCTGTATAGGGAATTTTCTGACATAAACTCATTACAAACTCCAAAAACCAAAATGAATTCTGTAAAAAATGAGCCACAAATCATCAAAATACCGAATATTTGGAGGTACCCTTATATGGGGACTATACAAAAACTTGGGTCATATGGACAGTTATCTGGTCCATTTGCGATACCAAATATTCTACAAATACATCTAAGTATTATTTGACGGAGAGACAAGGTTAAAAACAATTAATATGTGTAGTATTCCGAAGGTCCTATCCCAATTTTCAAAGGAGTGGGCTACTGCTTCTGTATTTTTATCGAATATCAAAGCAATTGTAAAATTTGAAGCCCTACTGATGTGACCTCCTCTCAAATTTTCCCGCTCACTTGTCGAATTATAGCTCGTATAAGCTGTAACACTAATTGACATAGTTTTATATTTTTTAATATCATCATTATAAGGAATTGCTTTTCGAGTGAGAAATCCCTAATGTATCCAGTGGGCTGATGCAACTATTTGCCATATTAGAAATAAAAGCATATCAATCTTTGCCTGTGCCTTTATTTTCCAATTTATCTGACTCCTTCAATCTCTAATCACCATAAAAGGTTCACAATTATATTTGCATAATTTATGCAAATAATCTAATATTTATTTTAGAATAATAAAATATATTTAAATTCTATTCTTGATTTTCATTCTCTTCTCGATCTCAATGATTGGTAAGATTTATTATTTCAATTAAAAACTAAAACTGTATTATGTACAACTGGAAATACCACAATAACCAGTCGTTCTGCCCACTGCCAACCATCCAGCCACACCGCCAGCAACTATTTGATGGCGTCAGGTTAATCTCTATTGTTTTGACTTGTAACGCTGGATGGATGAACGAATGAATGAATTAAGGAATTGAGGCACTTCGACCGCAAACAGTGCTCAAAACACTTGCGACAATGGTGACGTTGTTTGTATACGTAGCCCAAGCAATGAGGCGACAGAACGAAAGCTAACTCCGACCAACCTTCGATTCTATAAATTGCTTACCATTCGCCATAAAGAATTCATAGTTTTATTGATCTCTAAGTACACAACAACAGCGAAGAACGTGCTCGCAACGGATTTCATATTCTTAAGTTGGTCCGTCGATTGTACCATAAATAGAAAAGTTTGATTAAGGTTCAGCGATAAATTACATTTCAATGTTAACACCAAAATGAGGACATCATCGGTGAGAGAAAACAATGGGGGAGAAAAAGGATATGAGTGGAGTGAATAAATTTCTCTTCAATTACGGATTTGTAGGTTGTTATTTTAACCGTTTTGGTGGCCCTTGGTGCGGTGGAGGCTAGACCAAGTTTATTGCCAGTCGGTGTGGTACCCTCAGGTCATTATGTGGTATTGCCACAACATCCCAATGTGGTTGTGAGTGTGGCCAGTCCACCAGCGGGACCCGATGGTAAATAAAATATTGAAGTTTCCCAAAAAGAAAAGAAAAATTTAAATCAAAAAATTCTCCCTTCGAAAGCTGGGGCTGCTGTTGCTGATGCCGCTGTAGCTGTGGCAGATGCAGTTCAAAAGGCCGCTGACCAAGTTAACCAAGCTGTGGATGCTGTTGTTAATGCTCCACCTCCAGTACCTGATCGTAGGTTTCATGCTTCATTATGATAGAGGTTGTATGAAATTTTCACAATTATTTTTGATGGGATTTCAGCTAATGCCGCAGTTATCGACAGTGTTGTGGCCGTTTCCGATGCTGCCCAACGTGTTGCCGATGAAGTCAATCACGCGGCCGAGGCCACAGCTCTGGCGAATGCAGAAGCTGCCCAAAAAGTTGTTGAAGCTGTTCAGGCCCAAGCTGAGGCTGTTAATGCCCAGGTTGAAGCATCAGCCGATGCTGCTGCCCGAGCAGTGGAAGCTGCCAATGCCGAAAGTGAAAGAGCAAATGCTGCTGCAGCTGAGGCTGCCAAAGCCACTGCTGAGGCCTTAAATGCTGCCGCAGCTGCTGCAGCAGCTTCATCTGCTGAGGCTGCACATGGACCCGCTGTTGCTGCCTCTTCTCCGGCTGTCGTTGTTGCCGTTGCCCCTCCTGCTGTGCCCGGTGCAAGTGGTAGTCCCGGTCAACCTGGTGGCGCAGGCGGTCCCGGTGGTTTAGGTGGCCTGGGTGGTCTTCCCTCCGTTGTAGCTGGTGCTGGTGGAGCTGGCGGTCCAGGTGGTGCTGTTGGAGGTTCCGGTGGGGCTGGTGGCCTAGGACCAGCTGGAGGCGGTGGAGCCGGAGGTGGTGGTGCTGCTGCTGGTGGTGGAGGAGGCGGCGGCGGTGGCGCTGGAGCTGGAGCTGGTCCTTTGGGTGGTGATGGTGGCGGCGGTGGTGGTGCCGGTGGTGCAGCTGGCAACAGTTTACTCTCAGGTGTAAGTGGTGGCAGTGGCGGAAACGGTGGAGGTTCTCCTCTGGCCCTCTGCGGCTCTGACGGTCTTGATGGCGCCGATGGTCCTCCAGGACCTGAAGGCTCAACCGGCGGTCGTGGTGGCAAAGGAGGCAAGGGTGGTTGTGTTGGCACCGGTGGTGGAGGAGGAGGCGGTGGCGGCGGTGGTGCTGCCCCCAAACCAGGACCTCATCCTGCTCCCGTTTGGCCCGAACCTGTTGTTGTTAATGTGATGTAAGTCAGCATTTCTACAGCCACAAAATGTTTATTTTAAACTATTTCCCTTTCTTTCCACTATTCTTGCAGAGGTCATTGGTAATCCTGACCATTTCTGACTTGACGTGGGATTTATCATCCAATAAAGTTATCTAAATTGACCAGTTTCTTTTTTTCTCATATTTTTAATTGCAAAGAAATGAAGGTGCATACACATATACACACATACATTTTCTATATCTTTTAATAATTACAAAACAACCGACAAGTTGCAAGAATTCTTTGAAGTTAAGTTAACCTTAGTTTAAGTCTAGTCAGTCATTAATTATTAACCCCAGCCATTGATTTGAAAAAAGTTATTTTACGTTGTGTTTGATATATCTTAAGTTTTGTCTTTGCATGTGAATATAAAAAATATTCGAAATAAAAATATTGGACGTTTCTTTTAATCTAAGGGGGATAGGAATTCAATGGTGGGGAAAAATCTAAATATGGAGAGACATTTAATATGTACTCATTTCATAAAAAAGAATTTTAGCCTTGTTCGGAAAGTGTTGCCAAAACAGAGAGAAAGAGAGAGATAAGACGCAAAAAAATAATTTTATAAAAAAACAAGTAAGCAAAGGCTACAGTCGAGCGGGGCCGACCGTTGAATACCCTACAACACTATAATAAACCATACAGTTTATATAGGCGAGATACTCGAATGAATTCCACAAGATATTGTGACAAATAATAAAAGAAAACCATCAGGTTTCGTTCTCTAATTTTCGAATAATAGCAACTAAAACGAATTGGTTCATTTCCAATTTATTGGTAGATGTTGCACGTAAATGGTCTTCCTAGATCTGGAACCAATATTTCCCAAAGACCTATAATCTACACAGAAGTGGCAAAAGATTAACATTTATTATTGGTTTTTGACTGAAACGCATCTATATGAGATACAGCCATTTGACTGTATTCTTCAACGAAATCAGCGTTAACGAAATAGTCAGAAGTGAGTCTTTCCTGTATTTCTGAATTCTCCAAAATGTCACTGGAATGGACTTTTTCGTATTTAGTCAACAAAAGTTGGCAAACTATTTCACACATTGAATATTTTTGGATGGCCATCCGAAACTGCTTGGCTTTTGCAATGAGCGGTAACCCCCATTCAAATGTGCGTGAGGATCGGGCGATAATTATGACCTGCTGACAATTTTGCAGTTTTTTGGTCCATTTCAACCCCTAAATATATAGCGATCATCTCCAAAAAGAGTAGGCCTCTATTCTGACCCTCATCTTATCCCCATGCAAAATTTCGTAAGGATCGGGCCATAAATGCGATCTGTATATGATATCCTGATATCCTAACTACTTAGTTTTGTTAGTGTAGAAATATTACCAAATGTTTAATTAAAAATGAAAATATGCCAAAAATATGACAAAATTGAAAAAATATGAGAAAATGTTATAAAACCAATATTTTCATCTTTAGAGAGATATTTTTATGCGATTTTTTTAGACGTTTTTTCTTTCTGGCCAAGAAGCCATTCTGAATTAATGAGAACTGTCGAAATCAGTTCAGCCGTTCTCGACAAGCATATCTTCTTTGATAGACATATATATCACACATATTTTGCTATATATCCGATTTGTTGGATGTTAATAACAATGTAAAGGTCAGAAGTAACCTTGTCATGGCTTTGTGATTTCACCGGGATTTAAAATATTCTCGGTTTAATGAAAAATTTTGAATTTTTTCAACACAAAAGATATGGTCTATTTTACCCGCTAAATATTATCCGATGACCACCTAAATTGGTAGGCTTCTTCCCCGCCCTAAACTCAAGCTACATGCGAAATTCCGCGTCGATTGGTCTATAGCTACTGCAAAATCCGACATATTTTCAGTATTTGGTCCATTTCAACCCCTAAACATTTGGCGATCATCTCCAAAAGAAATAGGCTTCTATTCTGACCCTAACCCCACCTCCGTGCAAAATTTCGTAAGGATCGGGCCATAATTGCGACCTGTAGCGTGATTACAAATTAACATGGACAGACGGGCATACATAGCTAGATCGACTCAGCTCGGCGAGCTAGGAAGATCCATATATACTTTCCTATATGGGAAACCAATATTTCGAGGTGTTACATACATTCTGGCCCAATCAAACTTATGAAACCTTCAACACATAGTGTTGTAGGGTATAAAAACAATCAAGCAATGGCTATAGACGTGCGGGGCCGACCATGTGATACCCTATAATACCACAATATGTTCGAGGCAAATCCATTTTGGAAGATTTCGTTTTTGATGTTCTTGTTATGTAGTTGTGCATTTGTTTGAAACATAGGGAAGTAAGCGAGTTAGACCCATAGTTCCTTTTGATGATCTGCATGGAATCACATTCTGAGTTGATTTATGTATTTCCGTCTGTCTTTGTATTTTTGTAAGCAAATTACAGATTGCATTTATTTTGATCGAGATCGAGTTATTGTGCCTAAAAAGTGTAATATCAGTTTAAATAAGATGGATTTTGATAAATATCAATTCAAACACAAATAGAAACCTGCCATATATTACTTCCTTTCGGCTTTAAATTATACCCACTTTAACGATCATATTTTAATTCTCATAAATTCCCAAAAGTTTATTTGTTATATGTAGCTCTACTATATATTCAAAATGGTGTGGGTTATTATAAAGTCTGCCCAGCCCGACTTTTGCCCTCTTTACTGTTTTTTTTTCGCCAAAATTTTGGGATTTTACAATTTTATTATGGAAAAACTCTACAAAAACTAAAACAGACAAATTATTATAAAAATAAGGAAATAAGCATTAAAATCTTATATTGGGCGAAGGAGAACCCGATAGAGTTCAAACTATTTGAAAATATTGGTCCACTCATCCCTGCACCGATATAACCAGTTATATCATGTGTGACTTGCATTATATACAGGTCGCAATTATCATCCGATCGTCATTCAATTTTACAAGGGGGTTGGGCTATGGTCAGGTTTTGTAGATGAATGCGATATGGCTAGGGAGGGTATTTATCATTTGATAAGGCCAAAGCGTGCCTCATTGAAATAACGGTTTTAGATCCTAGGTCTCTTTATCGGTCCACTCCATCAAGTACCTCCACAAGAACTGATCAATATTTTGAATAATTATAACTCTTATAAAATGTGATGTAAGTGTCCGCTTGTCTTGAAATTACACACATCACAATATTTTTACTAACCCAAGGTTTGGTGTTAAGATGGAATATATCGACCCACTCCTTCCGGTACCTCCCCCACAAAGGGTCAAAATTTTGAATACCCATGCTGCTCATAAAACCCGAAATTAACAACCAATTCCATTCAGATTTAACACATCTCAATATTTCCATAAACACAAGATCTGTTTTAAAGGTGGTGGAGATCGGACCTTTTCTTCTCGTACCTTCCCCACATAGGTTACATGATTTTGAAAAACAAAACACTTAAAGATAGCGAAATATGCATCCGGTTCTCTTCAAATTTCAAACACACAAAAATATTTTTACCAAGACAAGATCTGTTGTGAAGATGATCATACCACAATTGGTCACAATTTTCGGTCGGTCCGTTCATGTATTCTTGTGAACAAAATGCAGGTCGCATTTATTATCCGATTGAGATGGAATGTTGCGAACAATATTTGTTTGGCCCAAGGACGAAACCTATTGAAATTGGTGAGAATCGGATAAGATTTAGATATATCTTCAACCGATTTCCTGTTAATTATGCACCAAATAGCCAATATAAGTCCAAATGAAGTGTATTTTGGTACATCCCATCTAATTCAGTCTAGAAGCAAGTAAACCAAAATGGAAAATTAGTTCAGATATAGCTATAGCTCCCATATATATGATATCAGATACTGCTCGAAAATATCTCTGTCAAATTTTATCGAGATCGGTTCAGATATGGATATAGCTCCTATATATATCTTTATCCGATATCAGGTTTATTGTGCAAAAATGGCTAATATAAGCCCAAATTGACTGAATTTTGACAACTACGACTGAATTCATTCCAAAATGAGCTATAGCTATAGCTCTCATATATATGTTTCATTCGATTTGGTGTTTAAGTCCCTCAAATTAGTAATATGCATTCGATAACAATGATATTCTTACCAGATATTTTATAGAGCTCGGAAATACCTCTGACAGTTTTTATCATGATAGGTCCAGATTTGGATATAGGTCCAATATATATTCATACATATCCTCATCCGATTTCGCATACATTGTGCACCAAATGGCCATTATCTGTTAAAAATCCCTGCATTTTTGGTACATCCGACCGAATTCAGTCTAAAAGCAACTACATCAAATTTGAAAAAAAAAAATAGGTTTAGATATATCTGTAGCTCTCATTTATATGTTTCATACGATTTGGCGTTTAATACCCTCATATTCGTAATATGCATTCGACAACAACGATATTTGGTACCAGATATCTAATAGAGCTCGGATACACCTTGGCCAAATTTTTCGAAAAAGGCTAAGATTTCAATGTAGCTCCCATATATATCCTATTTCAAGTTTATTGTGCGAATAATGGCAAATATCAGCCCAAATGGACTGATTTTCGGAACGTACGTTCCCATTGTGTGCAACTCGGCTCCGATATATATTTTTATACCCTACAGCACAAGGTGGTCAGGGTATTATGTCTTTGTGCATTTGTTTGTAACAGGCAAAAGGAAACGAGATAGACCCATAGTTCCTTTTGATGATCTGCATAGAATCACACTCTGAGTCGATTTATGCATGTCCGTCCGTCCGTCTGTCCATGTATTTTTGTAAACAAAGTACAGTTCGCATTTATTGCCCTATCCAGATGAAATTTTGCACAAATCATTTGTTTGGCCCAAGGACGAACCCTATTGAAATTGGAGATAATCGGTCAAAATTTAGATATAGCTCCCATATATATATCTTTGTCCGATTTGCCTTTTATTGCGCACCAAACGTGTAATATCAGTCCGAATAGTATGGAATTTTGCACGTTGATCGAAATCGGTTCCCATATATATTGTTCATCCGATTTGTTATTTTTGTCCTCCGCAGCCGTAATATGCACTCTGTAACAACAATATTTGGGGAAATATATCAATTACAGGTCAGAAATACATTTGCTAAATTTTATCGAGATCGTATCAGATTTGGATATAGCTCCCATATATAACTTCGTCCGATTTACCTTAGATTGTGCACCAAAAGTCTAATATTTGCCCAAATTGGATGAAATTTGGCACTTACGACCGAATTGAGATCTAGATCTAGAAGCTAGTATGTCAAATTTGGTGAAGATCGGTTCAGATATAGCTATAGCTCCCATATATACTGTTCATCCGATTTGTCATATTTGTTACCCACAGCCGTATTATGCACTCCGTAACAACGA